CCCCAAAACCCCAAAACCCCAAAACCCCAAAACCCCACTTTATAATTTCCCTTTGAAACTGATTAACAGTGAACGAAATCACTAGGAAATTCTTAAAGCTTGATAAAATAGAAATTTAAAAAGCCCAAGAGCTTCTTATTGCGCTTTTAGTAACAATAATGTCCTATCTTTTACTCTAAAGCTAAGTCTAAATTGCCTTTAATGCCTCTCACAGCAGGAATGGAGTTTCCCTGGGAGAGATCTTTAGCTGATGTCTTTACATCTCTCGGGCTCCATATGAACTGGCACTTCTCAGAACGCTTTGGATCAGGAGAATATTTGTACCGATAATTTGGAACAAACTATACTGGTAAGGACTAAAGCGTACTTTTGATAATTTCTTCTTAAGAGAGCTTGAGCCAAGCAGCCAACTTCTTTTATGTATGTCAGGAGCTTTAGATGCATCAATATTGATAGAGATAGGCTTAGCTGCAGGATTTGTACGGTCGCAGAAGTTAATTGGAGCTAATTTCACCCTTTTGTGCGCAAAAATTCTAATAGTTATTAACTAGAGCTTACTCTGAAACAATAGAGTGATTGTTTCTCCTATGAGGCTCCATTGATTTACTCTTGGTATTAAGCTTCAGCTTGGTCTTCTTGTTTGAGTTCTGATATTTCTCATGTTTCGTTTCCAAAGTATGGGAAAGTTTAGTGAGTTCGTCATCAAGATCCTTTAACTATAATCTCAATTATCAATACCTCAAATATGCTCTTCTTGGCAGAGTTATCAAAAATACTCTGATCATTGATCTGGATCTTTGTGTCTGTTCACAAAGTGCTGTTTTTCATTTCTGGTGGTTGGTTCTAGAGATAAGTTAAAAATATTTCCAAAGAGATTTTCAATGAAATCTCCTAAAATTTACACAAAGTGTATTTTCGCATTCAAAATAATGCATAAGCTCCATTTTTAATCGCTGGCACTGGATAGAAAGCAACAAGAGAGTGAATGATGAGATTTTGGTTGATTATAGTGTATTCCAGAAGCATTAGTGATGAAACCTCTGAAGTAACCTCCCATTTTAGCCATGAAAGATAAAAATAATAAAATCTAAGATCTTACTTTGATTTTAACTTGCATCAAGTATTGTACGATCTCCTTGTTTTGATAGCCATCCTATTATTTAGAGGGAGGATATACCTGTTTTAACTCAAGTCCTGGAAGCTTGTAAGTCTTGACAGTATCTTCTTCTAAATCGTCTGAGACCTTACAACTTACTTGGGTAGATCTTCTGGGCCGCTGCAAATGGCAGGTATTGTGAATAATCGGAATCTAAGTGAAAATTTAAAGACTGTAAAACCCAGGAAAGATTAGCTAGTAAAGAGCTTACCTTTCAAATCATTTATCACCTTCATCCTCATATTATTATGAATTCTTCTGATATGGTTCCTGCTTCTCTCATTTGGGTTCTTTCCTTCTACAGACTTTGAAAGCTTTGTTTTTCTTTCTATATTTAGTGTCACTTATATTATCTACAAAGAAATGGAAATCCGTCTTCAGAAGGATGAAAAACTTACTTTGAAACTTTTTATTGAAGCTCCTGTCAATTTTCTGGACCCTCCAATCGAGGATGCCGAAGGGATCCTTGTCATCCTTTAACTCTACTAACTTTTTTAAATTCGGAATGTTCCGTGCGATACCAGATTTCTATACAAGATATGGAGACTGGCAATAACGGGTATTACCTTCATAGTATAATAATTTTTACCAGCTTTGAAAAGCTTCTGATCAACAGGATTTATATCGATTTTCTTCTGTATCTTTGGTCGCTCAACCACAGATTTGCTCCTCTTATCTCTGACCTTCACCTCACTGTAACTTTGAATGAATTGGTCAATAGGGAATGAAATTGGCCTACATGGGGTAAAACTTTCCAACCTACTTAGCGTTAGGACTCTTTATCCTCAGATCCTCGGTTTGGTTTACCATCTCAAGTGCATCGGGCTAACGATCATAACACAAATCTTACCTTATGAGGAACAATGATTCAATTTTGTCTGAAATAGTTCTTCACCATTTGGCTCTTTCTCTTGCTTTCTGATCTTGATCCTACAAAATATTGTACTGTTCAAAACAATCAAGTGTAGTTTTGAGTCTCTTACCTCTATTCCCTAAGTCTGACCCTATTAGCAAATTATTGGTGTTAAAACATTAAAGAAGTGTACATATCAAGGAATAAATTTAGACTGGATTAACATTCTTGACACAAGAACTGAGGAATGACTAGGCTTGCTATCTTAAAAATTTATGAAGATTTAATCTGTCTAACTTTACAGAGGTAATCTTCATAGTATTTTTAACTATTGTACCTTCGTCTCTGCTACTGTTGCCAGCTAGTGTTTTTAGCTTTCATTTCTGCAGATTAATGATTTGTTCAGCCTTCATCTTTATCTTGGTTAATTATTTTATCAACCTTAGCAGCTTATCTGGGGTTTTGGGGTTTTGGGGTTTTGGGG